ACAAACAGAATGAATAATAAATGTGTCTTTTTATTTTCAAAACCTTTTTGTGCTATTATTTTCAGCCAATTAAATAGATTTTTTTATGGGCATTTGATAAGCACGGCTTTAATTTTTGATTTGATTAATTTTTTTATGATTATTATTATTTTGGTTTAATAATCAATCCGGTTGTGGGGGAGAAAAAAACTAAACAAAACAAAAGTTTTAAAAAACCATTGAAATTCTGCTTTGAAATACTGTTCAGTTTGAGCTTGTCTGGATTAGTTATTACAAAGCTCATAAATCCAACGGGGAACAAAATAAAGTACAGCACATTATTACATTAAACTGTACATTCAACGGTACTTTCATGTTTCTACTATTGCCAAAGTCCCTGATAAGGAAAGACTGTTTACTCTGAGGCCATATTTGCAACACCTCTGGACATTTCAGGCATCTATTCCTGTTTACTTGAATGGGGAAATACTGAAATCTCAAAAACTGCTTGCCAAATTCACATTTCTTTTTACACATTTAAAGTCAGCAATAAAATCTAACATGAACTGTCTCATAAATGTTGTTTCTAATACCAAAATAGCATAAAACACATATATTTCAGGTGTAGGTATGTGCAATCCTAAACTCTAATCTCCGTTTCTATGGGAACCAGAGCCACTTTAACAATTGCTTATTGACTCTTTTTTAATTTGAAGGTATGACATATTCTTCCCTATTGCGCTCTGCTGTTTCTCTTAGAATAACTCATTTGCGCCATCTTGAGACTAGTAATTATTAATAAGTATTATTTTTATGGTTATGGATCATTAATTTTATGGTACATAAAAACCTTTGACAGATGACTAAAATTTCTGGAGTCCTAATTTGCATACGAATGCACTGTTCTATGCCATTTTGTAGTATAATTAGTATGAATAGTATGTTCATAAAAATTTCAGCAAGAAGTAGTGCACTTTAAATACCCAGATAATGCCCTTATACTAAAAAATGAAATGTGAACTGTTGGACACTTCATGCACTGCTGCAGCCTTATTTGCATAGAGACTATTAGGCTCTAATGCTGAATCACAAAATAACATTCTAAAATTCACATAGAGCATAAGTGCATATGGTGCATCTGAAATCGTACTACATTTGAATGTGAACTTACTATGCAACTGTTAAAAAAGAATGTTCGTACTACATCTACCATGTTGTGCCAACATAGCATAAATTGTCCCTTCACTGCGATTTACAAATCCTCTCCCGATGCCTTATGGGATAGTAAAGTGTCAACTTCAAAGTCACAGCGGAAGTAGTAGGTCATCCAGATACTTTTCTCCTACTGTTTTTGAATACTATGAATTCAGACATTCTGCTCTTTTGGAGTACTGTTTTTTTTTCTTTCCATACTATATAGTAGAGAAGTATGCGATTTCGGATGGAGCGATAGTGTATGTAATTCAGAACGCATCAAAAGAGCTGAATAAGTGGACACTTCATGCACTGCTGCAGCCTTATTTGCATAGAGACTATTAGGCTCTAATGCTGAATCACAAAATAACATTCTAAAATTCACATAGAGCATAAGTGCATATGGTGCATCTGAAATCGTACTACATTTGAATGTGAACTTACTATGCAACTGTTAAAAAAGAATGTTCGTACTACATCTACCATGTTGTGCCAACATAGCATAAGTTGTCCCTTCACTGCGATTTACAAATCCTCTCCCGATGCCTTATGGGATAGTAAAGTGTCAATCGAATGCGCACTTCAAAGTCACAGCGGAAGTAGTAGGTCATCCAGATACTTTTCTCCTACTGTTTTTGAATACTATGAATTCAGACATTCTGCTCTTTTGGAGTACTGTTTTTTTTTCTTTCCATACTATATAGTAGAGAAGTATGCGATTTCGGATGGAGCGATAGTGTATGTAATTCAGAACACATCAAAAGAGCTGAATAAGACAGATATTTAGCCTCTATTGCTCTAAATATCTTAGTTATCTTGTCTATAGAATTATTATATTGTCTGTAATGTAATATATTAAGTATCAATATAATAAAAGTATCTTATTAATGAATAATATAAGACAAAAAGACAAAGGTCACAAACTTTACAGTCTGTTTGCCACTATACCTGTGCGGGTGCATGATACCAAACACTGCACAGCTTTTGTTCCAGCATCTATGAGAAACAGTAGCCGTTCAATAGAGCCGCAGAATAAAAGCAAATCTTCAATCACCTGCTTGAATTGTACTGTTGAATATAGTTCTGCCTTCTCTGAAGTGTCCGTCAACCTTATAGTGAACAGGGTCCAATAGATGTGTGTGCGTGTGTGTGTGTGTTTGGGGGGTGTTTAGTGAGGGATTATGCAAATGAAATTTGAGAGAAAAAAATTCCTGTCCAAAAATGACTCAGGCGGAACACTTGCTCAGGCGGGGAGCTCGACTAGTGTGTGTGACCGAGCCGCCAATGCCCACGCTTTCCCACAATCCAGCTTTGTTCACTGGGACGTCACCGTGAGGGTCTGTGGAGAGGAGGAAGAGCAAGAAAGAAAAGAAAAGGAACAAAGCACGGTAGATAACTATGGAAAGATACTGGTCCATCTTTCCATCTCATTTCTATCCGATTTACTACCTGAGAAAGGACACCAAATAGCAGGAAGAAAGAAGATAAGAAGTTTCATTCTGCACCTTTGAACTTCCCGGGTCAGGCCTCTTTGGTCAACCATGAACACACCAAACCCACCAGCAGAAACATCCTCAGCATCTCTCTGACCCACAGGTGAGACTGACAGATGCCGATGCGCTCTTAACCGATGTCAGTCAGCAGAAGAACACAATGTAAAAGCTACAGCTTTAGCTGAAAATTGCGTGAAACTTCCAGGAGGAATATGTTATGCTTGCTGTGCAGACAATGGACAAATGGCCGAGGAAAGCCAGAGCGACTCAGTGGGGAACCAGGAAAATCTCCACACCACCCTCCGGATATCAGACAAAGAGGCACAAAAGGTAATTTTTTATCTGTTGAGCAGCATCTAAAAGGTATCAAGAGGGAGCTGCTTTTCATGGCTGAGAGCGCAGATGGAGTGCTGAATCAAGCTGGGATGATCATCAACAACACACCACTGCTTTTCTGCCTTTCAAGCAGTCCGAGCATAGCTTTTCACTAAGTTGGATTTTCTTTTTTCTTCTTTTTTTTTGTTGCCTGAATTAATCTCTCTTCTAGCATGCTTCTTAAAAGTGGGATTCTATACTGAGCTTAGCCATTGCATTTCCAGTTTTTCTTCCTTTTTTCTGTTGTTGAATTTTTCCTAATTCCTGCTGTGGCAATCAATAGCATTTGTCATTGGTTCTCCTTGGCTTGTCTCGCCACATTTTCAGGAGGTCGGTAAATTGGTCTCGACTCGAGTCACCCAGAATCATCAAAAGCGAATCCCATCACAGGGCATTCAACTGTTCCAGTGGGAAAATATTTTGCTGTTTAATGCTTGAAAAACGTTTCACGACAGGCCATTAAAACATGAATTTTGCATATTAGATATATAACCCCCTAAAAAAACACTTGATAAGCACAATTTTCTGTTCATGTGTTGACAAATTTCCTGTCGAAACGGGAAGCTTAGATTGAATATATAAAATGGTCCATCTCTTTAAAATAATTTAATAATATTTTTTAAAAAGTGGCAGCAATGAACTTGATTTGCTAGTTGGTCGCTTATGGCATTAGGCGAGACATTCTCATTCTAGAGAGCATCTGATTGGTCAAAAATCTGTGCAGTGATGAGTCATCATCAATATTTTTGGTTTTGATTTCCCAGAAGAGACAGAATGTACATATTAAATACTTATCTGCTAAAAGTGGGTTTTGTTAACTTTATTATTATTATTATTATTATTATTATGTAACTACACTAGCAAATACATTCCAAAGCTAAAAAACATTTTAACAAATGATTAAAAATTGTTAATAACAAGTTTAGGATTCTTTTCCCCCCCAAAAATTGTTTATATAGCAATATTATTAAACATTACAAAAAACTACACCAAGGCATGCTACCTCAAAAAAAAAAATCCCATGGAACTGACTAGGTTAATGTCAATAAAATTGTGATATTGATATTTTATTATTATTATTTTCAGACATGCTGATCAGTAGCATTCGTCTTTTAACTAAACAGTTCAAAAACTAAATATAATTGAGATTCTGAAATATGGTCTAAGACTGTTGCTCCTTAAGCAGTGATGATATGAGCAAAAAATGACAAAACTCATTATCGTGTTAATGTAATATAATGATTATGTGTGTTTTAACCCCTTTTGACCCTGGGTTTGAAGAAGGTTATTTCCGTGCTGATGTGTCATTTGTGCATTTGTGTTGTTTCAGCATAATCATGTTTATAGACTTAATTCTCTATGTTATTTAGCAGTTTTAATGGTTCATAATGTAGGAAAGAGGCCAAACTCAACTGGGCAACAGCTGACAGTGTGAGTGTGTGTGTTTATGTACAGTATACAGTATACAGACATATAGCGCCACCTACTGACTGAAAGTCACTAGATTAAAGATCAAATTAAAGCCTTAAAGAAATCCCTACTACACAAGGGAAACAAAATGATGTTTTTGTAAAATTTTTAATTACACTAAAGAATAGCACATTAATTATAATAACGCAACATTAACAATGTTAATGCAAAGGTTCTAACAACAAAAAAGATTCAATATAATTTAGGCTGCATTCAGAGTATTTAAAGTCACTCAGCAAAGGCTAGTAAGTTAACTACTAAATGCTGATTTGAAGCTATTTACAAACATTTAGTAAAAATTATAATCCTAATTGATTAAAGGAAGTTAACCAACTTTCAAATCAGCTGATTAACCTTGTAGTATGCTAAATTACCATAACTCCTTACGTGCTTTTTAAGGGTGTTTCTGAAATCAATCACAGCTCAAATGCTTTTAAGTAAAAGGCAAAAGTAAATAAAATAAAAAAATAACAAGGACGAAAATAGAAGAGAGAATTTAATTACAAAAGAGCCCAAATCACATCCAATCAATTGCAGTTACAAAAAGGGAATGAATGAAAGGCACATTTCAAGAATTATTGAAATGATGTACATTAAATTTTGATACAGTGACAGTTCATGCATTTCATTTTGACAGTATTTGACAGCATCAATAAATCAGTAAATGTATTTAGAAGAAAACCATGCCACAACACCCTCATACACACCCATCAAATGTTCAATTTGGAAATTTGAGAACGCTGATATTGGATCCATATACCTCAAGATGGCTTGCTGATTTGACAGCAAATTAATTTGCCACCTTTACACAATGCAGAATCACACCCATTGAAAAAAAAAAAAAACACACAATGCATGGTGAGTCTCACAAAATCTCAGTTAACATGCTGATAACAATCAACGCACAACTGAGCTCGAAGCATGTCTACGTTTGGAACCAAAATCGTTTGGGAATGTTTAGTCTCTAAAAGTAGAACTACTTTTATTTATGAAACAAACCCGGAAATGGTACGATGACGTGGTCAGGAGTGTTGCCATGTCATGAAATACCAGGTTTTGCGGTTGTAGCTTCGAAACCCTAAAAATTAAAGTGCATCACTTACTTATGCTGGTATTTGGCAGATTCATACAAACAAAATCTGTGAATTTATCACACTTAGTCCAGAATTCACATCTGAAATCAATACCCAGAAAAAAGACACAAGAAGGGAAAAGAAAAAAGAAAAGAAAAAAAGAAACAATGAGGATATTTGAAAAAAAACTAAAAAAAGAATATCTATCATAATTTGACTGTGCACCTAAAACAATTATAAATTCAGATAGTCCAAACAATATAATAGTCCCATAAATTAGCAAACAACTTTCAGGACTTTCAGTGTTGGTAAATTGGAAAAGAGGGGCAGTCTTTTACCATATTAATTATTAACACACATCAACTTAGACAAGAGTTTCAAACCCCTAAAAATGATGCATACGTAACTTTGGCACAAAACACAGTTTTGAACTTCTGCCAACTTTCTTTCTAGAACAAAATGTATGACCTTCTGAGAAATTTCCAAGAAGATCTATTTGGTTATATCAGTCCAAATATATATCTAGTTTAAACCTACACATTCCACTTAAATCTTGGAAAAAGGCATCCAAGCATCCTGACTGGGCTGTAGAAAATGACAACAAAATCATTCGACAACCATTTTGGTGGAAATAATGGGATTGTCTTCATCACATTCGATTTCTGGCGGTGTCAATCACCCCCAGAGAGTCATCTGTTGAAAGAAGCAGGAAAGAAAAGCCGTTCATATCTGAGGTATAGATTTCCAGCATCACAGTCCAAAGTCTAAAGCTGAGCAGAGACTGAGCTTTACTTATGTCAATATTTGAAAGATCTGGTGGAATAATCTAGTGTTTGACTACCTTCTCAAAGACTTGGCTTCATAAACGGTAGTATCGTCCTCGTCGCTTTCCAGGTGGGCCATTTCCATTGTGTCGTCATAGTTTGACAGGAGCCCGTATTTCTTTCTCTGAACACCGGTTTTCTTCAGACTGGAATGAGAGCACAAATGAGAGATGCTTGAAGAAATCTGTGTGACTTTCTCTTTCCACGAAACAGAATGAGGCTAAAGTTTTTTTAAAAATCACAAAAAAGCACCATGAAAATAGTCAAGATGACTGTTGTACTTCTGAGTTTTATTGGATTTATAAGTGAATAATGACTTAAATGTCAGCTTATAAACTAAATGCATCGTTATTGTTAGTGGATGCCCACATACTTTCCTTGAAAGGGCCTCGGTTATCTAGCCGTCTTTATATTGTTTTATCAACGGATTGTAGAGGTGCCGGTAGCGACAGACTTCTTCACACAGCCTCTCTTCAAATTCGAGGTCCATGTTGCTTTTCCAGCGCATGCGCAGTTGGTGCTTTTGTAGTCTAGTGAACAACAAAATGAGAGGCACGTGGATGTCCGGAAAGAGCCTTCGCGTACACCCTCCAATGATGACTTGTTCATCACGCAGAACCTAGCAGACCCTTGCGCACTCGCGGAAAGTATAACCCTGCGTCTCAATGTTCATTCTATCCATCCTATATAGTATGTGAGATTAGAATAAGTGTGTCCCAAAGCATAGTATGTTGAAAAGAGTATGCCAAAAGTCCCCGGATGGTCTACTATTTCAGGTCGATTTTAGAAGTGTGGATCCGTGCACATTCTAATGGCTAATATTACCCACAATCCATTGCGCTTTGGTGAAGGATTCGGTCCAGATCTACAAACATGGCAGATGCGCGCGACCGGCGGTTAGGTAGAGAGGTTTAGAAAAAGGGGTTTGAGTTACTAATATTCAACATTTAACCTGGTAAAAAATATTTATTTAATGTTATCCATGTTATATTTCATCTGCAACAGCAATGTAAACTTTTATAAACATTCGTTTGGTCGTTAACTTTTAAATGCATCATTATGCATAAAATATGAGCAGAGTTCTCGGCATGAAAGACCCGCGACTGGCAGATCAATGTGCTACTTCTTTTCTCTCCAATACGGTAGGAAGTTAAATGAAATGCAATATGGAGGATGTCAACTGTGACCAGATGATTGACAGGCCAGTTTACAGTGACAGGGTGCGTGTATCTATGCGGCAGAGCAGTCCATTAAAGACACAACTGTATGACGTGATAGTATGTCCCAAAGCTTGCCTACTCTTCTACTACACAATCAAAAGTGTGAACTTTTTCCTCACCAAAAAGAGTACATACTTTAAGGGCGTAGTATAAGTAGGCACATTGGGATGCAGCAGAGGACGCATGGTCACCTTAAGTAAAGGTGCGTTCACGCCATATCGGAATTCCCGTAATTACGAGATTCCAACTTGTAAATAGCATTCACGTCCTCGTAGAACTCGTAATTACAACTTGTGAACTGGGAGTTTTCTGAGAGCTACGGCTTGTACCACGTGACCGCTGTACCTCACGCGGAACCAGAGAAAAATGGTGGCGCTTTCAAAGAAAGCTATTGCTGATTTAAAAAAAAAAGAAGGAGAAAACAGATGCATATATATATAGATGTACTATAATATAAAAACATTATGTATTTATTACAGGTGCGTTCAAGTCAGTTTAGTCGGCACAAGATGGCGGTGTACCTTCTTTTAATAAATTACAAGAAAATACAACAGGGTCTGCATTTTTTTACTTGGATTTCAGCTGCGTAACAAGAACATGACCAATTTAAGTTTATAGGACTACTAAACTATCAATTTAAACAAAAATTTACAGTCAACTACAGACGTTGCATCCATCGATTCCGCCATGTTTCTCATTGACGTCCTCAACTCGGAAACATGGGGCTTGAAGAAAATTTCGAGTTTCCCACTCGTAATAACGACTTTGTGGTGGCGTTCATGTGCGTTCAACTCGTAAATACGATCTATCCGACATGACTTGAGCGCACCATACCTGTCCGTTGGTCGCGTGTATCCGCCATGTTTGTAGTTTAACACTTTTAATTTGTGTTTGTAGTTCTAATTGAATCCTCATCCAATGCGCAATGTGTTGTGGGCAATATTAGCCGTTAAGAGTGTGCAGCGATCTGCACTTCGAATAGATTCCATCCGGGAATCTCTGGCATACTTTTTTAAACATACTATGATTTGGGACATAATAATTCTATTTTCGAATACTATTTAGGACGGATAGTATGCGAATTGGGATGCAGCAACAGAGTTGCGACACTCCCATAGGCTTCCATAGGAACTGAGGAATACGGAAGTAAAGCGCATCATGGAGCAGCCAATAGTTCCAAACAATCAATAGCTACAGTACTGAAGCCCATTCATTTCAGTGCTTCTCAAGCACACCCGCCCGAAAGTTGAGGAAATTACAGCAGTTTTTGGCATTTTAACGCTTTAGTTTACCTCTCAGAAATCTGGCCAGTAGTTGTATTTTATGAAACGCATTATAGTTAATGTTTAGTTTTAGATGATAGGCAGTTATGCTATATTTGCAGTTAGATAATGTGAGAAACACCTTAATAGCTTTTAATAATATTTTTACGTTTTTAGTCTTTCTGCAATCTTTCTCTCCCTGTAGGAAGTTGAACGAGTTTCAGTTAAGACTGCCCATTAAAGGAATACAAGAAAGAGTTTCCCTAAATGCAGTTGGTTGCTTTATGTTTTTTTTTTTTTAAACGTTATTTACATTTTTTATTGGGTTCAATTCCATAATTGGTGGCCTTTTTTTAACATTCAGTTTCGATTAAATTGATAGTTTCGAAAAGTTTCGATGGCAATGGCATTTTCTTCTCCGTATAAAGCGCAGCTCTGCTTTGTTTACAGCAATAACAAAGGAAATGTTATATTGCGGTCGGTTCATAAGCAGTGTTGCCAAGTCCGTGGTTTTCCCGCGGAATTGGGCTACTTTAACACTGTTGCCGCGGGTTGTTGTTCATGTCCGCGGGTTGAAGCGACCCCAATAACATGATATTTTACCCCCGGAATGCCATTTTTACAGGGGAACCCCCCTCAAAACACTTTTATTGGGAAAACCTGGCAACCCCGTTCATAAGCGCCACCTGCTGTCAGAGAGTGCGTCTCATTCAGAACTGCTGTTTTTGTTTCGTGCAGATGTTTTATGTAGCAAATAAATAAATAAATAACACCTAAAGTTAGACCATTCTGTTTTTGTTTTAAATCCTGAAATTAATCTAGATCAAATCAAAAACAACTGCCCGTGCAGATCGTGATTAAAATGCAGCGGTTGCCTCTAATTTCAAATGGCTAGATATTTTTGTTTAAAGCCAGTTTGTTTGTTATAAAGCAAATAGCCAATAAATACATTTGCTTAAAAATCAGTATCAGTCAATTTGCTAGTTTAAAAAAAAAAAAGAAGGAAAGAAAGAAAAGAAAATCTGAATTCTGAATCAGCTATGACCGGCGCATCACTAATTAAAATACTAAGTAAAAGGCCTCAAATTTGAAGTACAATCTGGGATGTCTTTTTCGATCAGTTCTTCAATAGGTAGATCTTGTCTTTCATAAAGGCCGAGGTCAGGGATCTTGGGCCTAAAAAGGTTGGTGACCACTGCTTTACAGCAACTAGAGTAGAGCTAAATATATGTAGGCTATATTTATTAAACAGCCATACTGGCATCTAGTGGTTAAACCATGGCATTACATAGGGATATTATTTTTCTGGCCACCCAAACACCTCTAATTTGCCTCTTTGCACTGGAATTTAAAAACATTTTCTCTATTTTAACCCTAAATACTATGCTAATTGTAATATAAATATTAAGCATATTAGATAAAATATTAATGCTGTCTCTTCATCACTCCCCAAAATGAAATGCGATTGTGAAACGTAGTCAGCGCAGTTATCAATACACAATCAATGCACATATAGTGAAACTGCTGTCTATCCTACTTAAACCCATTCAAACACATTGACAGCGCGGAGTTGTTTGGAACTATTGAGAACTCAATGAACAACGTGACCGTGTGGCGGCGAGATCAAAGCGTGTCGAAACTCTGTTTCTCAACGGCTCTGACAGCACCGAGTTGAACGTCACATGTTGTCATCTCGGAATTACAGGAATTACGACATGGCGTGAATTAGGGCTGCACGATAAATCGCATGCGATATTTAACACGCATCTTATCAGTAAAGCCGGTTCTGTAATCAGCGGTAAATCTCCATCACCTGCGGGCTTTCACATTGAGCAGCATTAACTACACAGGGCCGTTGTTCACTGACGAGCTGCGCAAAAGCGCGATTTTTTTGCGCAGCTCGTCAGTGAACAACGGCTCTGTGTAGTTAATGCTGCTCAATGTGAAAGCAGAACCGGCTTTACTGATAAGATGCGTGTTAAATATCGCATTCGAGTTATCGTGCAGCCCTAGCGTGAATGCAGCATAACTCAAATGTGTGACCATGCTGGTCATGTGACACATATCGGCGCCCATGAGGGGGCGACCCGCTCCCAGTGTTGCCAACTTAGCAACTTTTCAGACTACCCTAGCAACTTTTTCTTCCAAAAGCACCTAGCAACAAATTTAGCTATTTTTAAAAATTTTATTTGGCTACTTTTAGCAACTTTTGATAAGCGGCTCAAACAATAAAAAAGGCACACATTTTCCATCAATATTTCACAAAAAGAGGAAACCAAAGATGCCTAGCAGAACACACATCACGAGAATTAAGTTACTGCTATTTGCAATTGTTCAATTTGATAATAATAATAATAATTGTTCATTTATGATACACCTCGTTAGTAGCTTGTACCTGTGATTGTTGATCAGTTAGTACACTGTAAGGAAAATATCTAGACAAATGGAAAACGTACAAGTAATTTTCCAGGACATTATCCGTTGTAACCCGAAACACAAAATACAATGCGTAATTTAAAATGCAGGTAAAAACCTGAGAATTATTTTCTTAGAGTGTAGCATACTGACTACTAACACACTGCTTAAAACTAGAATTGTTCAGAATGTGTAGTTTTACTAGTTTACTAGCTAACAAAAAAAACTTGTGATCGTTCAAAAATGTGTAAGTGTTCAATAATTCAATGTTGTATATAAAAAAAAAGGTATTCATATTTTAACATTATATTATGCATTTATATTATTTTACGAACAAATCTCAAATTAACATTAAAAATATATAATTTTTTTTAATGTAGTGACAATTTTGCGTCGTGATTGCGTAATGACGTCATCACGCAACGACGCCACAACATCATTTCGCAACAAATCGCTTCCTTTAGCAGCTTCCCCTGAAAATTAGTTGGCAGCACTGCCCGCTCCATGTAGAACAAAACAGCCTTTTCGACAAGGTTGATGAAACTAGAGTCATCTCACATGAGTGTAGCCTACATCCTAAACTAAATTTCACAAAATTAAAACGTTTTACACAAATGAATATCGAGTTCACTTTAAAACCAAGGTTGTTTTGAAGTCCATCATCCATAGATTAACTTGTCCCACTGAAGTTACTACTAAAACCAAACTTTAATTAGCCAAGTTAATCTCGCTCGAGATCAAATAACAGATTATATGACTCAATACCCAAAATTTCTTAACATGACAGCGTTTTCGCTGTCTGTATACTAAGTACACGCAGTATATACTGTTCACTGAACACACTGGAAGTACGAGCGCTTTCAAGCCAACATCTCATTTCACATCACTTCCAGAGGACTTACCGGACAGCTCTCACTAAGAAATACAGAACCCCGATGACCGTGATCCCGATCAGAACATACAGAGCCCTGTTTATCATCGCGCCGTCCAGGTTGAAGTCTATTTTTGAGTTGGCGGTGGTGTTATTCTTGTGCGACACTTCTGTACTGTTGCTGGAAGTGTTCTTGAGTGCGGGGGGTTTAGTGGTGCTGGGCTTAATGCTCCTGTCGTCGGCGAAAGAAACAGCCCACAAAGTCAAAACCAGAGGCAGGAGTCTTAAATGTGTCATTGTAGCCCGAGTTCGTGCTTTTCAAAGGCAAAAGAAAACCTACACAGTAGACACAAATATGAAGTTGGCGTTAACGACTGACTTCAGTTCCTCTTCCTGATTGAAGACGACAGCACGCGTAGTGTTGCGGTCAATTGTGTCCTGAGGGGAATCAACAACGAGAGCAGGTTCCCCCCTGAGAGCACGAGCGCATCTTACTCTTCTTTTGCAGAGGGTATTTAAAACACAACGTCGGTTGTATTTTGAAAATATGGCTACAGTGAGCATTTTGATGCCTGAATCATATTCCACGCAAATAGGTCAAACAAAACGGTAGCTACTTCAACTCTAGTCCGTAGTAAAACACAACGCGAGCGTTCCCACGAGGAGCTGTGAACGCTATGTCCAAACGCTCGCGTACTTGCGTTTGCTTAATGTATGTTGATGTGCTTTCTGCGAGTCGCGCGCAGAAGCATTACAGCTGTGACACTGAATGAACGTCGAGCGACGCAGACTTGAGTAAACAAATATTTATTGAAGGCAAATAGTACAACTAGGAATGTCGTGAAGAACAAGATAAAGACTGAAAACTGTGTAATCCTGATTTTATATTGAACTATATTTTTGCATGATGATGGCCCATAGCTGTAATCAAAATATACATGTTTTAACGGATATAAAAACCCATAACTTTTTTAACATTGTGATACAAAAATAGTATTTACACCTCATCTGTCCACTATAAGAAAAAGCACTTTATAATCTAAGGCAGATGTTGTATATTGAGGGTTTTTAATGTTGTGCAAGGATGCATAATCAGGTTTTAGCCAGCCTCTGTTAAGAATCAACAATATACTTTTTTTTTGTCTATATCCAAGGAGCATCTGGAAATTGCTGGGAATACAATATAAACAAAGATTATATTTGTTGTATATTATCTGGTCCGAGTGCCAAATTTAGGCCATCATCGGGCCTTTATAAAAATTATGAATGCTAATGCAACTGAATGTCCAAACTGAATGGTCTCCTCGGAGTGAACCAAGACATTATATTAAAAAAAGGCACTTGTCAGATTAAAAAAAATAAAAGGCCCAACTCATTTTACAGAGGTCACTAAAGGCCATCGTGGCTGATCTGTTAAGACTAGCATTATGTGATGTGCACAATTCAGCAGGTGTGCTGATTATCAATCATATCTGGCAGCCGCCCCGATTCACCTGAACTGTTTCCATCACACGGTTATCTACAGAGAAGCAGACGGACGTACGCCGCTCTGAGAGGACATGTTTGTACACGCCGTTTGTCATGAGGCTAAAAGGTGTCAGGATGTCCCTTACGAAGGTACACGGAGGAAAGGCTTTGGTATCAAGCTGTAGTATACACACAAGTTCCTGAATACATAGAGCATTTAAGTAGAATAGCTTAAATAATCTACTATCTCACACAATAACATGAAGCCCGATGCTAAACATCTACACAAAATACAGGACAAACAGTAAACGGGACAGCGGTTAATGCTCCGCTGACCACAGCCAACATGCAATGGCCCACAGTATGCAAAACAATACAAATCTAGACAACACTATTGGATTTATACACAAACGATTGCATAAATTTGAAGGAGGAAAATGCCTATAAACATTCTAGGTCTAAAGATACAGTATAAATGCTAAAGCTAGAGGATATGATGAGTACAACCCGACTGGGAGATACGTAACACAAGAGGCGCAGAGTTTTAGGCCTGTACCATCAGCCTGATGAAATTACCCATGTCTCACAGGAGCATAAATGTTTGGCCCTGAGGGCACGAAATGGACTGTAAACTACAGATTTGCAAACATTAGTTGCAGATGTTTGACTGAGGTTTTGGAGAACTGAAGCAGTAAGGCACAAATGGAATCAAAGGCCTGTAAGTGGTTCATCTCTGCTTCTACAGAACTCAAGCCTCAAATAGGCTGAAAGTGACCGATGGAGGGATGCATACAGTTAATGAACTTCTCGGCCCAACTAATAATACAGCTGTTCTAAAACCTTGAAAAAATATACGTATGTAAATAATCACTAAAATGCCTCAAATAAAATAATGGAATGATGGAAGTGAGCTTTGTGATTAAGACTCATTATGGTTTAAAATGACTGGCCACTGCAGTCCTTTCTGGACTATATTTCTCTCAAATGATGGACTTGGAGAAGGAAACCCTAAGATGGTGGTTTTCTCCGAGATCATGGTTGTGGAACTGGATAAGGGACTCGATCGCTTCATCCACCGAACCCATCTGAATCAGAGCCATCTTGCGATCCTTCCTGAAAGTTGAGGAATTCGTTAGTATTTCTTGCGGATACACTGATATAGAATGTATGTGCTGACGATAATCATCAATCAACAGATTGTTGTGGCCAAAAATTGGATTTGAACTCAAAATGACCAGGTAACAAGTTATTTAAAAACCACTGACTAAATACTAAAAACCTTCACTTACTAAATTAAACGAATAATAAAATCTAAACTAAATAATAATAATAAGCTTAGAATGTAGACTTCATAGTGCATATGGGTGATCTGACTTGTAACGGGTTTTTTTTTTGCTGACAAATCAAAGTGTTCCATTTTACGAAACAATTTATGAAATGACAATAATCAAAAGGCAAAAATGACACAACAGCCCAAGATGTCCAGAAATTCACATTTTCGATATAGAAATGAATTTGATATAGAAATATTGCCAGATAACAATATATTAAATAATAATAAATTAATAATGATAATAATAAATTATTTAAAAATACTACATTTAATTCAGAAATAAATCTATATAATGCTCGGTACAGAAATTAATAAACAATTTTGTTTTAAAGTAGTATCGGTTTTAAAAAATTTAATAGTTTGAACATTATAAGCGAAATGTTTACAAATATGTACGTAATGTGGGAGAAAAGAACACACACATTATCGGTTACTGGCTGTGTTTCTCCACTACCAGTATCAATAATTTAAAATGACTGTTATACTACATAAATGTCAGAGTATGATAATGTCACAGCTGCACACACTTACTGAAAGAACTTGAAGTTCTTGACCAGAGCACCATTGCTAGCAAAGAGCAGCTTGAGGTCATCTTCGACAACCGCGGGTCTAAAACAGAGAGAAAGTTATAGGTGAGAGATTTGAGTTTTTAAAGTCATAGAAAAACAAGAAGCGGATGTGTATAAACTCACGGGATGTTAGACAGGTGCAGGGTAGATGAGGGAGGAAAGATGTTGGAGTAGTTTTTGGAGCCTGGCTTCTTGAAGCGATGGAGAGGAGAGCTGCTGTAGTCTTTGGTGAGACCCTGGTCCTCATGTCCCTCCCGTGGCATCTGGACAGTCGTGTGTTTGGACAGCGTGATGCGCAGGGGCCTGCCGTATAACTTCTGCCCGTTTAGATGACTCATTGCTGAAATATAAATGTTTATCTGTAAATAAATACTGAACTACAAAACAAATGAAATATAAAGTATGTTCTGCACCCTAGTTCCCCATTACATCTATCAGTATACCGTGAAAACAAATTTGGGTGCTAGCAACTGCTAAACACTGGGACACTTATGACTAAGTTTGTGCATTAAAGCACAGCTAATATTATCTAATATCAACAACACTGCTGTAAAACACCGCATGGCCAATAGCCTTCTGCTAACCTTTATTTGTTGATTGTGAATCATCGTTGTAGTGGTTATAAAGTACAGTGTGATTATGGAATATGAACTTATCCATTTCTGATGAAAGACTGAAGACATTACAACACTTCCAATAAGTGAATATAATGAGTAGCCAGTTATTGCAGTGTTGATCGGCGTCATTTTTTGAAAGAAATTAATACTTTTATTCAGCAAGGATAAACTGAATTGATCAAAAGTGAGAGTAAAGTCGTTACAAATAAATATACAAATAAATGCTGTTCTTTTGAACGTTCTATACATCAAAGAATATTGAACAAAATAAGCAGCGCAACAGTTTTCAACATTGTCAACAAATAAATTGTAATATTAGAAAAACACTGTCAAAATTAGATGTAATTAGAGTGACACTGAAAACTTTTAAAATACATTACATTTTAAAAATATTAAAACAGTTGTTATATATTGTAATAACATTTCACAATATGACTGTTTTTACAATATTTTAAATTAAATAAATGCAGCTATGTTAAGCACAAGTGTCTTCTTTCTAAAACATTGTAAAAAATCGTACTGACCCCAGACTTATATTTGTATACGTGTATATATAAAATTTCTGCTCCTTCTGCAAGCAAATTGTAATCATTTTAAGGTTGTTTACCCAGCTGAGCCTGTGTCCCATCACACATTTGTATGAGAGCGTTCTCCTTCTTGTTGAACATGATTTTCACTCTCAATACATCCCCATATACACCTACAAAGAGAGACAGTCTCATGTCAGATACAAATATACAGCATGTTATGATCAGACACACCTCATCAAAACCAACCTGAGCTATAAAACAACTTCAGTTCACAATCAAGATACTCCATTATATCCCACCGTCACATGCTCTTCAGGGTACAAAAATAAATAAATAAATATATATATATATATATATATATATAAATTAAAACTAGTATCTAATAGCAATTTTATCAGGGGCTTAATTGAGTGAAAAGAAACTTGTTTTAAGAAAAGACTGAACATTTTCTTAGTTAAGAAAAAAAAATGAGTTAAGAAGACAGTTCAAGTGAATCTGCAGCTTTTAAGAAATCTGCAAGGTGCGTTTAGTTCGTTATAAATAAATAAATATATATATATATATATATATATATAAATTAAAACTAGTATCTAATAGCAATTTTATCAGGGGCTTAATTGAGTGAAAAGAAACTTGTTTTAAGAAAAGACTGAACATTTTCTTAGTTAAGAAAAAAAAATGAGTTAAGAAGACAGTTCAAGTGAATCTGCAGCTTTTAAGAAATCTGCAAGGTGCGTTTAGTTCGTTTTTCGATCTCCTGAGGAACAGATTCAACGGATCGACTGAAATAAGAATCGAAAGATAACAAGTTTTGAGGGGGATGAAAATATTTTTAACCCAAAAAAGAATGAACTTATAAAACAGCAGGAGTCTTGACTATTAACCAAGTATTTTAAACAGCTTTTCTCCAAAGACATGCAATAAAAAAGGTAAAAGTGGAACGGTTTTCAAAAGCATGCAACATTTTACA